CGCTGTACTACAGTCAGGACAACAGAGCAAGACTCTGTCTAAAAACCTGCATGGGTAAATTGAGCAGTAGAATCAGTGTAACTGAAAAGAGAACTCATGAATTAAGAAAGCTAGGAAGAAATTATCCAGACTATAGTACAGAGTTAGAAAATGTGACAAAGTTGTTAAGTTACATGCAAGATAGTAAAGAAATTTAACATGTCTAATGGGAGTTTGAGAAGAAGAGGGAGAATGGGGCACAGACAATATTTGAAGAGATAATGGTTGGGAATTTTTCATAATTGGTGAAAGACACTAAAGCCAGGCACAGTGGCTCACGCCTGTAATCTCAGCACTTTGGGAGGCTGAGGTAGGGCTCTCCATGTTGTCCAGGCTGGTCTCGAACTCCTGGCCTCAAGTAATCCACCTGCCTCAGCCTCCCAAAGTGCTGTGCTTACAGGTGTGAGCCACTGCAACCAGCAAAATTTCAGTTTTTGAAAATACTGATAAAGTAGGCAAACTTTTGAAAAATGACGAAATACAGAAAAGGTACAAATTAACTGTTAAGAATAATAAATTAGGCATAAATGTGGATCAGTAGAGTTTTAAAGGTAATAGGAAGCCAGGTACAATGGCTCATGCCTATAATCCCAGCACTTCGGGAAGCCAAGGTGAGAGGATTGCTTGAGGCCAGTTTGAGACCAGCCTGGGCAACATAGTGAGACCACTGTCTCCACAGAAAATTCATTAATTAGTTTGTCGTGGTGACATGCACCTGTAGTCCCAGCTGCTCCCAGCTACTAGAAGGCTAAGGTGGGAGGACAGCTTGAACCTGGGAAGTGAGGCATCAGTGAGCTGTGATCACTAGCCTAGGCAGCAGAGCTAGACTCTGTCTCAAAGAAAACATAATAATAATTTTTAAAAATTAAGGTAATAAGATAAATTTATGACAGCTTTGTTAACAATTCAAAAACAAATTGCACAAATTTCAAGAAAACCCAAAACTGTTTCTTCAAAGAAATGAGCCATGTGAGTGGTTTTAAGACTGCTCATTAAACAATTTGAATCAGTAGTTAAATTCGTTGCCCTATTCCCGCCCTGCCAAAATAAACTTAATAAAAATGGAAAAGATACTCTAAATTCCTGCCATGCTCAGATGGTTCCACATGCAAGTATCAAACATTGGATAATTGCATTGTCAGTTTATCAGTGGAGATGCAAAAAAAACAATAAAAACAGGTAATTCCAAGCTTACGTAAACTCAGAGAAAAGGAAAAGAGGGAGTACTTCCCTCGCTGGTTTTATGCAGCTAGTATGACCAGAGTACATACAAACATTGTGTATGTGAGTGTATATGTCATGACCATGTAGGTTCAGCCCAGGTTTAATTTTTCTTTTCTTTTTGAAACAGAGTCTCACTTTGTTGCCTAGGCTAGAGTGCAGTGGCACGATTTTGGCTCACTGCAACCTTTGCCTCCCAGGTTCAAGCAATTCTCGTGCCTCAGCCTTCAAAGTAGCTGGCATTAGAGGCCTGCACCACCATGTCCGACTGATTTTTTGTATTTTTAATACAGATGGGGTTTCGCCATGTTGGCCAAGCTGGTCTCAAACTCTTGTCCTCAAGGGATCTGCCCACCTCAGCCTCCCAAAGTGCTGGAATTACAGGCATGAGCCACTGTGCCTGGCCTAATACTTTAAAATTTATTAATGTAGTTCAAATTCAGGAGAAAAACCCTCTTATCTCAAAAGATCAAAACATCAAAAAATTCAAACGTTTGTGATAAAAATTCTTGGCAACTAGGCACAGAAATGAATTTTCTTTTTTTTCTTTTCTTTTTCAGACAGTTTTTTGCTCTTTTGCCCAGGCTGGAGTACAGTGGCACAATCTCGGCTGACTGCAACCTCTGCCCTGGGTTCAAGAGATTCTCCTGCCTCAGCCTTCGGAGTAGTTGGGATTACAGGCGTGTGCCACCACACCTGGCTAATTTTTGCATTTTTAGTAGAAACGGGGTTTCTCCACATTGACCAGGCAGGTCTCGCACTCCTGACCTCAGGTGATCAGTCACCTCAGCCTCCCAAAGTGCTGGGATTACAGGCGTGAACCACCGCACATGGCCAAATTTTCTTAACCTGTTGACAGATATACTTTCTGTGAAATTTCAGAAATTCTTTTTAAAAATCTTGTTTGAGTCAACAGTGCTTACCCTCACTGCTTCTATTTTGCATTGTATTACATGACCAAGACACCACAATAAAGGCAAAGAAGTAAAAGTGAATTATTTCAGGGGAATAAGCTGATGAGTTATTTGTGGGTTTTATTCTATTTAGATAACCCCAAATCTGTATACAAATTAGTAGAATTAATAAAAGTTTAGCAGAATCCTAGTGTGTTAAGATCAAAATATAACGATTCCATTCTTACCTGCCAAGAACAGACAATATAATTTAATAAAATATAAAAATAAAGCAACTTTAAACAAGTCTATAAAAATTGAGTAAGAACTTTGAAAAAATGATCAAACTTTACCAAAAGACATTGAAAAAGTTAAACATAGAAGATACAATGAATGAGAAGACCAATGTTATAAAGCTTTTCCCCTTAACCCAGACTTTCACATAATGCCAGTCAGCATTTCAACAGGTATTACTGTGTCTGCACGTACATATGGAAGAGAGCAAAGGGCTTAGGAAAAGGTGAATTTACTTGTCCTGCCAATTAGCAGGATGTCCGTTAAAAAAAGCTCATCACAGGCCAGGTGCAGTGGCTCCCGCCCATAATCCCAGAACTTTAGGAGGCCAGGGCGGGTGGATCACTTGAGGTCAGGAATTGAAGACCAGCCTAGCCAACATGGTCAGATCCTGTCTCTACTAAAAATACAAAAATTAGCCAGGTGTGGTGGTGTGTGCCTGTGATCCCAGCTACTGGGGAGGCTGAGGCAGGAGAATCGCTTGATCCAAGGAGGCAGAGGTTGCAGTAAGCCAAGATCACACACCACTGCACTCCAGCATGGGCAACAGAAAGAGACTCTGCCTCATATATTAATTAATTAGTTAATAAAAAGCTAATCACAGTATTGTGATGTCATGTAGGTATGAACACATTGACTAGAAGGCTGAGAAACCCAGACACACATAAGTGCTGCTTGATAAACAATGAAGGTGGCATTTTAATCAGTAAGAAAGCTGTTAAGTAAATTTATTTCAACATTAGTTAGTTATATGGAAAAAATAAAGTATATCCGCTCTTATCCATACGTACATGAGTGACTTTTCCAGTAAAATATTAGCAAAATAGTATGCTTTAGAAAAATATAGACCTTGTGTTATAATTTTAAAACTTTCTAAATATGTAAAACAAAACCACATAGTTATTGGTTGTGAAGACATGTATTTACAAAAAAAAAAAAAACAAGGGAATGCTGAACACCGCGTTTAGGTTCATGTTACCAAATGCTGGGGGAAAGTAGAATACAAGAGGATTAGCAAAGAGAGTTTGTATTTTTTAAGCTAAATAAGTATACATGTCCATTTAAAAAGTCTTTGTGACCTAAATATTTTATAATGAGTTTAAGAATTTAAATTCAGTTGGTTTTTCATGTTCACTTTGCCTTTGTGACTGCCTTGATTCAGCTCGGTGACTTCCTTAGGAAAGTCAAAGGTCATCACTCACGGCCTTGCCAGCCAGCCAGGCAGGCACAGGTATCTAGACCAGTAGTGTCACATTGGACAAATTGATTTATTTCCCTGTTTCTCGGTTTTCTCATCTGTAAAATGGGAGTAATTACTTTATGTGCTGTGAGGATTCTGAATTGACTCATATATAGTTGTTAGTAAATGATATAGCTTTTCACTTCTGTATAGATTCTAGAGTTTGTGTATAAGTTTTTCCTTAAACTGTTATTAAAAGTCATTGATTCTTAACTACTTTTACTATTTTTTTAATGCCAGCTTTCTTTCATTGCTCTTTACCTTCCTTTCTTGAACCTTTTTCAAGCTTTAGGATTTGCTTTCTGCGTTACTTCTCTGTAAGCTTTTTTGCTTGCGGGGGTGGAATTGATTTTGAACAACATAAAAAGCCAGTGGGAGTTCAAGTTGGTTGTGGTTTTCCCATTGAATTATGACTGGAGAGGCATTTTGTGCTCTCTGGAAACCAAAAAGGCCCATTTTTTTTTTTTTAAGTTTAATCGCTACTCATACTAGTCTGATCACTAATGATTTTGTGTTTCTGAATTCATTTTCAGTTTTATGTCTTCATAGTTCAATAATTGCTGTAATTTTTTCATAACTGCTTACAGCATTGAATTATCTTTGGGCCATCATTTCTCTTGGTACTCCTAATACTGATTCTTTTTAGCTGTATCTCTCTCTTTAGCTTTATCTTTTCTTTATCTTAGAAACTTACTGACATACATGCTTTAAAAATAGAAGTTTAATGCTACATATCAAAAACACGTTTATTCACTGGGGAGCTATCGCTTCTATGATGGCTGAGTTAAGAAGGTAGACTTTTTTGTTTTGGGTTTGTTTTTTGTTTTTGTTTTTGTTTTTGCATTACTCTTATTTTCTATAGTTTTTTTTTTTTTTTTTTTTTTTTTTTTTTTTTTTTACAGTGACAGCTAATATTTTCTGTTTTTGGAAATTTGCCAGATTCGTAGACCATAGAAAAGAAAATTTAATCTGGAAAAAATTATGGGAAATGTCCTCAAATGGATATCACTTCCTTGTCTGAAGAGATAACATACTAAGATAGTTGGAACCTATAAACAGCTGCAGGTCCATGGCTCCATCTCAGGAGTTCCTGCTGTGTCCGTAGAACAGTTACGCGTGGATCATATGCACGTGTGTGTGCATTCTCACACAGGGGGACGTGGCAGACCTCATGTGGAGGATCTGCTCACACACGCCGTTGCTCCCCTGTAGTTGGCTGGTCAGTGCCTCTCTTCTGGGGCGTGGGTACTTTTCTTGAGTAGGTGGCACTTACTGGAAATGTTGTGAAACACTCTTTTTGCTATGTCCTCCAGGTCGGATCCGCACAAGACGGCAAAGCTCTGGGAGTGCCACCAACGTCGCCTCTACACCTGATAACCGGGGCCGCAGTCGCGCTAAAGTGGTTTCACAGTCCCAGCGTAAGAAACATATTTTATGGTCTTGCTTACCTCAGTTTTATTCAACAGCTCATTCTGCGGTTGAACATTTTACAATCTTTATATTGACTTCAGAGGGAAAAACACATTTTTTGTGGCTCTAAGATACTGTGAGTATTCTTACTGTTTGTTGGGTAAGCTTAAAAAATGAAACATTCCAGGCATACATTTGTCTCCTGTCCAGGTGATTTACATTTTCGTATTGTTAAACATTAAACATTAAACATTAAAATGTAGTTTTTCTCCCTCCTTTGAAGCCTGTCAAATTGTAACTTAACCTGTTCTGTGACTCATTTTTGCATTGATAAGGAATCCTTCTGATGTAATTTTAGAACGGTACCTTGGGCAGAAAACTATTAATGCTATGTTCTTTCCAGTGGTAAATAAGTAAATCCATTGAAAGCTCTCCCCCTTTAATTCTGTGCTCTAACATTTGCAGCCCACACCTCTCTTCCTGCCATGTGGGCTCTTGCTTTGCCTAGCTGCTTCCATGATTGCATCTCTGTATATGTGAAGTCAGTTGGTTTGTTAGCCTTAGCCATGAAAGCAGCCACAGCTGGAATGAATTTATTCTGGCCACTGTTCAGATCCTCCCTTGGTGTCTCACTTTCCAGCCACACATAAACTTTAAGGGGCCCGCTTCCCCTGTGTGCATGTCGAGTAGAGCTGGGTAGCAGAGTGCTCCTGGGCAAGGTGAGCATGGGAAGGAAGTCTTCCTGTCCCCAGGAGCTGCATGTGGTCCCACAGCATAGCACTCACTAGCTGACATTTGTCTGCCTCCTTTGTGACCCAAGGAACTGTCTGTCTGTTGTAGAAAGTGCTCAGTCTGCACCAAACTTTAAGAGCTCTCTTAGTATAGAGAATGGCCTTGCTTAACACCTTCTGAATTTAAATTCTTTCCCTTTGATAACTGCAGTCCTCATGTTATATAATTTCTGCAAAGAAAGCAGAAGATCACTTATAGTGCTGCCTTTGGTGAGGCTACAGAACCTTCCTGTGGCCTAGGTTGTGTTGTGTAGTGTGATACACTACAAGCATGGGCTTCAGTGTCAGACAAAACTGGGTTTGCATCCTGGTTCCAGTGTGATGTTGGGTGAGTCTTTTAACCTTTGTGAGCCATTGTTTCATTGTCTGTAAATTGAGTGATAACAATTCCCACCCGCATGGGGTTTTCATGAGGATTTAATGAGCATTAGGAGCTTAGCATGTGATAGACAGTAAATGGACACAAGCTTTATAGTCATAATTGCTTCAGATCAGCAGACTCCCATCCTAGCTGAAGTTGAGCGTCCTTGATCCCTGTCTACTTCAGTAGGTTTAGGAAATAAGTCTAGGAATGGATTTACATGATAAGGGATGCAGTTGAAGATAGCTTGAGTCCATTAAGACCAAGAATGCTCTCCTTACTGTAGAACTTAAACTGAGTTTTCATTCAGATCCAGGGTGCAAGTGTAGTCCGGAAGTGTCTATCTTGGGAACAACTTCTTGGCTCTGGTTATTCTGTTGAACCCTAGTGATGCCTGGAGACACAAAAGGTTATTTGACTCATACATATGGGTCAAATTTTACTGCAAAGGAATTGTTGACAAAAAGTGTTCAAATCTCAGAACCTAGGTCGATATAATGAAATTAAACCAAATAAAAAATGTCTAAGCGTGTAACTATGCAGTGTTACTTCCCTCTGTGGAGGCTGAGGGTTGAACAGTATTTTACGTGTTTCATTCTAATGCTGTTTATCAGCATTGGGGTCTCTGGGATTCCCTGCCCCAGCTAGGTCAATGCTGTAGTTTTCTCTCTTATATTGCAGGTTTTAGGAATGTGTGGGTTACCTTGGCAGGTGGTGAAGATTACACTTCCTTCTCTAATAGTTGTTAGGGTGATAATACAGCTTTAATTTTTCAGTCTTATCAAAATACTGTACCTAGCCTTGGGGCTCCCCTTTTAAAACTCCTTAGTTTTACTTCACTCACCAAATTATACTCAGGAAGAGTGACCACACTAGCCAGTGATCAAGCCTGTACTTTCAACTTATGCATGTAAATTAAAAGTTTAAACAATTATTTTAATAAGTGGTAAATATAAGCATATATATCACAAATGTAGATATACTAGTATTCATAGTCCTGATTTAATACTAAGTAGGCTTCATTAATATTAGATTTAGGGCCCTTAATAATTGGCATATTTTAAATATTTGAGGTTTAGGGGAAGTCAGGACAGGTGAAACTAGTTAACAGCAGTTTCAGTTAGTTGATGTTTATTGAGCTCTTACTATGTGGTAAGCACTTTTGAAGATGGTAGTGATACACAGATGAGTACGTTACAATCACATCCCTCAGGTTGCTTAAAGCTAGAAAGCAGATATGAGCCTCGCACATTGTAGGTTTAAAAGTGTTTTATGAACAGATCTGAAATAAATGCTAATGTAGAATGACAAAGATAAACATAAGTACAAAAATAGGAGGAACAAGTCCTAGGAAATATAGCTGTTTTGCTAATGTATTTGTGAACAAAGACCTTTGTGTTGTGTTGCATGCTGACCTTCTGTATTGTGTTATTGTCTTTTAATCCACTTTTTGCCTGTCCTTTGGTCTGCTCTCATAATCAAGGATCCAGATCTGCTAATCCTGCTGGTGGTAAGCCGTTTCTCTTCTTGCCTTTTTGTTGTTGTTGTTGGCATTCTCCCCGACCCCATGCTCCCTGCACAATATTAATTTCTCTCTTTATTGTAAGCTTAGTTAATCTTTCTGCATTTTTCTTTGTGTTCAAATTCTAGAGTTTGAAATGGATTTCTTTCCCCTTTATACATAGTTTAATAGTTTATTAGTATGCTCAAATTTTATGGGTAAGATTAGTAGGTCCTGAGACAAATTCTTCATTGGTTTTTATAATGATTTTTCACTTCAATTTGTAGTTAAATCATTATAAACTATTAATTTTTGTGAGTATTCACATAAGTGTTTCATTTGAATGATGGTGGTTTTGATTTATATAATACTTATTTTTAAATAATATATATTTAAAATAAACACACATATAAATTTACAGGTAAGTGTTGCTTCAAATGTTTTCTTCCTCTGGGTCATTCTATTCTAGTACATAAAAAATGTATCCTTTATATTTTAGAATTGTATTGCCTTCGCTACTTAGGGAAGTAATCTATCAATGCAAATGATTGCCATTTGAGTGTATTGGTGTGATGCTTAAAATTTTGTTGTTTTCTCTAAGAGAGAATTATGTCCCACAAGAAATAGTAATATATGTATCTAGCTACTTATCTGTTAATAAAAATTATCAGCCATATTATTTGTTTTCAATTTCCAGTTTTATTGCATACTTCTCAGAGATTGTGCTCCATGTTATTTCTACTTTTGTAGACTTTTTTTTTGAGATTTACTTTGAGGCTTAATACACGATTTTTGTTTTTAATATTCATGTGCGGAAAGGTAAAAAGAATGTGTGTTCTATTTGTTGGGATATATATGTGTATGTGGGAAGTGTGTGTTTGTATACATACATGTACACACACAGACACAATTTTGACTGCTCTGTCAATTTCTGTGAGGTATATAGTTTTTCAGTAGTATTAGTCTTTCCATGAGGTCTTTCGGTAGGTGTGACTTTTTCCATTTCTCCCTGTACTTTTATCATTTTTTAGTTTTATATTTCAAAGCTGTGTTGTTTGCAGCATAAAGGTTCGTGATTATTGTATCTTCATGGACAATTATTCTTTCATAAATATTAAATATCCTTCTTTGTCTTTTTTAAATGTTGTGTTTTATTCTATTTGTTTTTGTTTGTGGTGTATTGTTTGACTCTTAAAAATACCAGGCAGCTGAATTTCATTTTATTTTACTTTGCATTTTCTTTTCTTTTTTTTTTTTTTTTTTAAAGATACAGGGTCTTGCTCTGTTGCCCGGTCTGAAGTGCAGTGGTGTGTTCATGGCTCACTTCAGCCTTGACCTCCTGGGCTCAAGTGATCCTCCCACCTCAGTCTCCTGAGTAGCTGGGACTAGAGGCATGTGCCACCATGCCTGGCAAATTTTTAAAAATTTTTGGCGAAATGGGGTCTCCCTGTTGTTGCCCACACTGGTCTCAAACTCCTGGGCTCAAGTGATCCTCCCACCTTGGCCTCCCAAAGTGCTGGGACTATAGACATAAGCCACCAGCCCAGGCTTGTTTTAATCTCTCTTAAATAGATGAATTAGTCCTGCCACATTTGTTATGATTAACTAATATGTTTGAACTTCTATCTTATTTTGTGATTTTTATGTACCAGGTTTCTGGTTATTTTATCCCCCTACTCCCTTTTGTATCATTTGTCAGATTAATAGAATTTTCTTGGATCTATTTTCTGTAGCTAATGCTTAAGAAAATTGTTATAGTTCTACTTCTGCTCTTCTAGCAGTGACACCTAAAATTTTTAACATAATCAGCTCTTACAGAATAAAAAAACCAGAACAAGAATAAACACCTTTGTAGTATTTGTAGATATTTACTGTGGAATAAGGAGGCTATTCTACCAGTAATTCTTCTAAGTATATTCTTTTATGATATTCAGTTGGCTTTTATGCTCCTACATTTTAAAAAATTACCACCAAATAAAAATTTATTTTTATATAAAATTCTGTATTTTAGCCAAATTAATGTGTAAAACCTGGCTTTTGAAAGTATTATAGTTTATTCCTACATTTACATCTATTATTCATTGTCATTTTGCTTCACTTTTAGCTGGCAGCCGGTCAAGTTCCCCAGGAAAATTGTTGGGAAGTGGTTATGGTGGACTTGCTGGGGGCTCCTCACGAGGCCCACCTGTGACACCGTCCTCAGAAAAGCGAAGCAAGATTCCCAGGAGCCAGGGATGTAGCCGGGAAACAAGTCCAAACCGAATAGGATTAGGTAAGGATTCTCAAAGATCTTGGAAAACCATTCCCAGCTTGGTCGTAGTTTTGATTATAAGCTAATGACTATGTCTAATGTGGGAAATATAGATCTATTTTTTGAACTGAGGATGTCACTTTGCCTGGTTGTGCTTTATACAGATTTTGGCATATTGAGGTTTCAGTTAGAAAAATATGTGGGACTTAACCATTCAAATTGATGGGAAGGAATTATGTCATTATAGGCTTTTGTATTTTGCAGTCATTGTACCAAGCACTGGAATTGGGGAAATAGGGTGTTTCCCCCACAACTAGAAGCAGTGTTGCTTTTCATTTTCCTTTTACTGATTAGCACTAAGTAGACATTCACCTATATAAATTTTTCAAAAACAACATTTAGGGTCCACATTTATTTTAATTCTGATCTTCTCTAATTGGTGAAACTTATGGTTAAAAAATATGTATAGTTACTTTTGACATAGATTTGTTTAAGCATACAAGCTAGGAATTGATTCAAACCAATACATAATATTTATTTTTGTGTTACTTAGCTTCTTTGTAATAGTGTGTAGAATCATGTGAATTACTTTCAGTAGCTTAAATATATTTTACTCCATTAAAATCTAATTCATATACTACCTTTTTAAATATAAAATTTAGAAGTCTTTGTGATATAATACAAAAAATCTAAATTAATACTCTATGACTTCTTTACTTCCTAAGGGTAAAATGTATTAATATAAAATCAGACTACTGTATTCTTACATTGTGTTGGCTTATCTTTCTCATTTATTCATTTATCTCATCAACAGTGTTTACTGTGATGTACCAGGCACTTTGTTAGACCTGAGAATTAGAAGATACATGACATAGATTTAGATTCTGACTTCAAAAAGCTTGATATCTGTTGGGGAGAGGTGGAAATGTAAGACAGTAAGACAAATACTGTGATGGGGTGCTCCCCATAATCAAAACTATGACCTAAAAAAAGAGTATCTTAGACCCTTGGCCACCCCAGATTTCCTGCTAGGGGAGGCTGCCCAGTGTAGGTTCTGGTTTCATGAAGTACAAGATGGGATTGGTCCAGGTGGGGAGATGAGGGAAAGGTTTCCAGAGGAGAGAGAAGCATCTGCAGAAGCAGTCAGGCAAGAGGCAGCCATACGTCATTCATTTGACTACTGTACCGAAAGTCAGAGTGGGTGGGAGTTGGGGGCAGAGACTGGTAGAGTCCAGCTCATGAAAGTCTTTGAAGGCCACCTTAGCTACGAGAAGGCAGGAGAAGATATTTAAGAATGGATAAGGTTTGATTTGAAATCCTATTTCCAAAGCAAGTAGAAAGTATTTCGTGGTTTTAGTAATTCTCTATGATGCCAGCTTTTTACTGGCATTGCGTAGTGTGGTCTCTTAGCTGACAAGTTATTTGGTTGGCGATGTGGATACAACAATAGAAAAGGGCACAGCTGGAATATCTGAATTTTATGTCTGATGCTGTAACGTATTTGTGTTTAGAAAATGCATTTGATTTTAAATCTAGGTGTTAGTTTTAGCTGTCTTTTTCCATAGTTAATTGTTTAAGTTTATAGGATGTCTGTCTGCAATCCATGTTAGTTTTATACATTGAAAGATTCTTTTCTGTTTTGAGATTTTTTTCTTTTTATATTATTGAAGATGCCAATTTAATCTTCTTCTGAAAACTGGGAGATAACCCAACTTCATTTATCTAACGTAATTCTAATGTGTTCCATGATTTTAACTAAGAGGTTTGTGTTGTGTGTAGTTGAAAAGACAATATTTTATACGTTTTTAAAACAGGTATTATGGAACATCAGTAGGAACTTAAGAGAAGCCTGTTCCCTTCCAAAGAGTTATTTGAACCTTTATTTGAAGAAAGTTACTTCCTTGATGCTAAAGGGATCAGTTATGTGTGGAGCTTTGAGGTCATATTAAGGAAGATATTTTCTTTAAATTTCCACACATTGTGAGAATATATGCTTATAAAGAAATATATATGAATAAAATGTATTTTCATTTTTTTCCTGTGGTATTGCTTAGAAATTCCGTTTAATAGGGTGGCAGACATAATAGCATTATTCAGTAATAGATTATATATTACTATTATCGTTTAGTATATACTGGATATATGCCTATGTTTCTTAACATTTGACTCATTGTATAGCAATTTTCAATATAATTGTTGAAAAAAAGAGGAGGAACATCTTTTAGGAATATTTTCTATAATTCCCAAACCAACGAATTCAACAGTTTTAATGATAGCTAAACTAGGTTTGGAATTTGCACTGAGAATTAATTGTAGTTATCTACAAATTGTGTTTGGTTCACCTATGCCTCTTTTTGTTTGAAATGATACTTCTTAACAAAATTTTCGTTTTTCATTTGTTTTAAAACTAATGCCAAGGATCTTCTTTGGCATTTAAATTTTCTTAAGCAAAACAGCCTGCAATTCCTGTTGAATATTCAAGAAGCAAAATATATCCCTGCTACTCTCTTTTTTCTTGGTGATTTGTTCCCTCATAAGCTGTCCGAGTAGGAAAATATATTTTTAAGTTGTTTTATTTCTGTATGTCCTAAAGATAATACTTTATAGATACAATAATGTCACATAAATCACCAATATCTGTAGTGATTATATTTTGGAAGTTTGCCCTTGTTCTCTTCTCCCACTCATCTATGGAAAGGCTATGAAAACACATTTGATATTTTTGCAGCTTTCATTCTGTGGATGTGTATTTAAAATGTTCTTAAAGTTTTCTGGTTAAAATACTTTGAAATAATTAAACATTAATAATAGTTCATTTCAACTGTGAAATGAGACTACTGTCTTAAGACCAAGACATGAAAATGTCTAGACCAGAGAGACATTTCATGTCTTTAACTTCTGGTGCTTTTTATTAATTCTCTTATATTCTGCTTTCATGAGTCCTGGTTGGACCCTTCCTTAAGATGTAAAAGTCAAGATTACCATTAAAACACTGAAGTAGGGTAGAGTGTCTATCAAGAAATGTAAACCAATCAAGTGGGTATCTTATGGATCTTATGGCTTCCCAGCATTTCATGTAAGCAGAAGACCCCAGAGGTACCTAGGAATACTGCTTTTTTAGGAAGTTCACCGTACAAGTATGTTTTCCTTGTCTCTCCCTCTTATGCCTTCTCCTCTGTAACATATTTTCACATAGAACATTTAGTTTGGCACTTAAAGAGACGAATTATTTTGGTGTTTTTTTTTTTCTTTTAGTTTTGATCACCTAATTAATTCATTTATAAAAAATCATGTATATACTTATTTTAGGCCGGGTGCAGTGACTCACGCCTGTAATTCCAGCACTTTGGGAGGCTGAGATGGGTGAATCCGTTGAGGTCAGGAGTTGAGACCAATCTGACCACCATGGCAAAACCCCATCTCTACTAAAAATAGAAAAATTAGCTGGCTGTGGTGGTGCGTGCCTGTAATCCCAGCTACTTAGGAGGCTGAGACAAGAGAATCACTTAAACCTGGATGGCGGAGGTTGCAGTGAGCCAAGATTGTGCCACCAAATCCCAGCCTGTCAACAGAAGGAGACTCTGTCTCAAAAATAAAATATAGGCCGGGCTCAAAAATAAAAAATAGGCTGGGCGCAGTGGCTCACGCCTGTAATCCTAACACTTTGGGAGGCTGAAGCGGGTGGATTGCCTGAGTTCAGGAGTTTGAGACCAGCCTGGGCAACATGGTGAAACCCCGTCTCTAAACTACAAAAAATTAGCTGGGCGTGGTGGCGTGCACCTGTAATCCCAGCTACTCGGTAGGCTGAGACAAGAGAATCACTTGAACCTGGGGGGCGGAGGTTGCAGTGAGTTGAGATCATGCCATTGCAGTTTAGCTCAGGTGGCAGAGCGAGACTCCATCTCAAAAAAAGAAAGAAAGAAAGAAATGAAATAAATAAATATACTTATTTTAAATTCTTCTTTTATATTAGTCTTTCAAAGTAGTAGTATAAGTGAGTTTGTATTTCTCTTGTATTTTAAATTATTTAACATTTGAACCATTGATGTCACCACTAGATTTACTTTGAAGAGTAAATGATGCCAGAGCTCTTGAAGTTTAGGGTAACTATGGCCATATTTTCACAAAATCATAAACAGACAGAGTTATTTTTCTTTATATTGCTACTAGCCATATGTTAAAGGAGAAAATCAGCTCAAATGGGTGAATAAACTGTCTCTGGGTGAAATACAGGGGGTGGGGGGTAAACCTTGTTAAGAAATTTATGCATACTGTTATTTCAGAGCATATCTGTTTACTACTGTTAATGCTTTTTATTGTATTCACAAAACAGACTCAGACCAAAAAGAGAGCATTTTTTCCCCGTTGTTCTAGCATGTATATGAATTTAAGGAAGGAGATGGGGCTGGGAAAAATTCAGAAATAATCAGGCAAGAACTATTCAGAAAATGCTCAACTAAGCATGAACTTGTTTAAACAACTATCAAGACTTTTTATAGCTTTGTTATCATTTGTTTTGGAGTGAGCAGTGGAATACGACAAAATTTTCACGTGTGCTCTTCAGCAAGAGACTTGAAAATACTTACGTATGCGCATTATCTCACAGTACCCTTCTCATTTAAAATGAGGAGACGTGTTCTTTTTCCTCGGTTTCCTAATGGGAGGCTTGAGACCCAAAGAGGCCAAGTGGCTGGACCAGTGAGATGGCGTGGAACTGGAATGGTCAGTTTTTGACTCAGATTTGGCACTGGTTTTCTAAGGATGAGTGGTATTGCTGTGTACATTCTAGGAAAGTTTTCCAGATTGGTAGAGCCAGTACATGTTCCCTAGTTTTTTAAGCATTTAATTTGGCATCTCCTTTTGTCATCATTGTAGGAGCTGTTTAGAATGTCATCAAGAATTGCTGATTAAATAGTCACTACTACTTTGAGTAAAAATTCAGTGCTTTTACATCACTCTGGCAAAATTAAGGAGAGCTTAAGAATTTCTGGTGAACCCCCAAATAAAGCCCTTTATGTCTA